ACAACCCCCAAAATTAAACTAATTGAAATTAAAGAAATTGAAATTAAATTGTAAAGCTACTGTGATAAAATGTCAGATCCTGGCAAAACAAAACAAAACAAAGAAAACAGAAGATCAGTGGAACAGATTAGAGAGTGTAGAAACAACTCGACATACTTTGCCATCTTATCTTTAACAAAAGTGACAAATACATTCACTAGAAGACAGTTCTTTAATAAATGGTGTTGGAAAAACTGGCTTTTCACATGGTGAAGATTAAAACTGAACCCATATCTTTTGCCACACATTAAAGAATAAATAGATCGAAGATCTAAATACTAAAACAGAAACATGAAATATGCTGGAAGATAGAATAGGTAAAACTCTTGAAGACATTGGTGTAGGCAAAGACTATGAATAAAACTCTGATCGCACAGGAATTATCACAAAGACTCAACTGGATCTCACCCTACTGAAAAGCTTTAACAGAGCAAGAGAAACCACGAGTGAATAGATAATACACAAGTTGGCAGAAAGTGTTTGCCAGCTTTTCCTCAGACGTAAGATTACTATGGAGAGTGCTGAGAATTTCTGTCCCGGCTAGACTGCTTACTGAGACTTCTACGGCCTACAGGCCTCATGGAAGGACTCTTGCAGACCGGAAAGACACACAGTGATCTTTTAATATATTATGGAGGATGTCAAAGATGTAAGATCTAGCCAATTGCTCAGTACACACAATTAAGTTGCCATTTGACTCTTCCGGGAGAACATGGCGGACAGATAACAGCAACTACCGGCGGCTCTCTGAAAGACTCGGCTCAGAAGCCAGGAATGGTGCGGACTAAGGAGACATAAGCAGGTGGAGATATGCTCTGCTGACTCAGGAACGAACTGGGCTGAGAGAAGCCAACTTGGAATGCAGTCCTGGTGCTAAAACAGGAACAGAAAAGACTCGGTGTGGAGGCTGGAACCGCGCCATTGTAAGCCGCGATTTGGGTTTCCCGCCGCGCAGCGGCTGGCTGCCTCTACAGCGGCTCGGCAAGGGGAGAGACATGCAGAAGCTCTGAGAACGGCAATCTGCGAATGGCAGGGAGGCGTGCACTGACTTATGGTGAGGTGAGTGAGAGAAACTGACATTCTACCACAGTTTGACTCCAGCAGAGGACTTTCTGGGCCCGAGCAGTCCTGCGGGAACAGGGCACGGTGGCGACTCCAGCCACACATCCCCCTCTCGGGCGGGATTGGTGAAAAGTGCCTGGCCTGCGTGACGCTGCTGGCGGACCTGGTAGACTGTCCCAACCCAGATCCCAGAGCCTGACGGTGGCCGGGAGGGGAGACGCATAGGCTGCCTGGTCCGTAACTCCCTGGTGCGCAGCGGTGAGCGGGAACACCTAACTGGCGCAACTCGATCAGGCTGTGGTGGACTGGGAGAGAAGCTGGGCCTCTTATATAAGCTTGCATATATAAGGAACAGAGAAGAAGAGGCAGCATGGGAAGAGGCAGCAACAAGAAAGGCTCCTCGGCCCCCAATTCTGAGAAACAGGCAATAGCAGACACCGCACCAATACACATAAGGCATCATATAGAGAGCCTCATAGACCAATTCAGGAATGAAGTTATCAACGACGTGAAGCTAGAAGTATGCAGAATAGTTAGAGAAATGCTAAGCACAACCCAAGAAAAAACAGGTGGTGGAATGGAAGAACAGAAAAAAAGGGGAGAATTGTTTGATGGAGAAAACAGAGAAAGCATAGAATACGTGAAGCAGGTTCAAAGGGACTACCAAGATACTAAGAAGTCTATCAAAGACTGGCATAACAGCTTGAAAGAAACTAAGGACAGACTATCTGAACTGGAGGGCAGAATTGTAATATGGGAGAATGAAATGAAAAACTTCTTAAAAATAACAAAGAAACAAACAGCAATAATACAAAGACAAGAAGATGATAAGAGGATCCATAACTTAAGGATTAAGAACATAAAAGAAGAAGTAGGGATGCAAACAAGTGAACTACAAAAGCTACTCACAGAAATAATCCAGGAGAATTTTCCTAATTTAGCAAAAGGTAAAGATACTCAGATGTATGAGGCATACAGGACCCCAGCCACCTACAACCCAAACAGAGCAACACCCAGGCATATAATAATAAAAATTCCAGAAATTCAATACAAGAACAGAATACTAAAAGCTGTAAGAGACAAGAAACAGACCACTTACAAGGGAACACCCATCAGAATTACAGCAGATTTCTCTGCACAAACCATCAAATCACGAAGAGCGTGGGGGGAAATAATTCAAGCATTGAAACATAATAATCTCCAGCCAAGATTGAGATATCCTGCACAACTGTCCCTGGAAATTGATGGAAAAACAAGGTGCTTCCAGGATAAAGAGGAACTGGGGGAATTTGCAACCACCAATTCAACTCTACAGAAAGTATTGCAGGATATTCTAAAAAAAGAAAAATACAAAGAACCCAGAAACAGTGGCGGGGAGGCCACAACAAATGGAGCAGAGAACAAAATAAAGAAGACAAACTGACAGCTACTGACAGAAAAAGAGCTTAACAGAAATGAGGCAGAGAAGATTGGATGATAGGAACAGCTATTTTGGAGAAAATGACATCTTAATAGGTAATACTGATTTAGTATCATCTTGTTTTGAAGTCTCATCTAGCTTTTGTCCTTCTGTCGCCAATGGTCTAAATAGGCTGTATCTTATTGGATTTTATTATGTACGATAGTATAAGCAAAAACCTTTTAAAGACAAGGAGATTATACAGAAACCATTGTTCATTTTCTGTTAGTCGATTCTAAATACTCTGTAATGCTGTCATTCTCTTGAATGGTTTTACATTGTTTTGATATACTTAATGCTACAGTATACGAAGTTGTACTCAAGGATTTCAAAGAAAAACAATATGGTAACTACTTTTAGGTTAGGATTATCTTGTGGTGAAACACTATTCTGCTTAAATGGTTATGTTTTGATCTGCGCTGTTTCGTTGTTATGCCCTCTTTTATCTCAATCTCCACTCCATTATTTACTTTTTTATCTTTATCCTTTTAATTAAAGGAAAAAAATAGCAGGATATATTATAGTAACCCATTTTGACTTTTCATTACCTTGATTTAAAGCCCTGTATTACTCTCACCATCTGGTTTTTAACTGATGTTCCCCTATTCTGTTTTGCTGGATAGTATCAGCAAAGTTTAGGCATCAGCTGTGAAGATAATGAGATTCATTATGACGCCCATGCTTGTTGACTTTTAGCTACTTTTGAAGACCTACAATGTCTCCAATGTTTTGGTTTTGTCGGTTTTATTCTTTACTGTTTTGTTCAATTGTATTATAACTAATGATATAGGCAATTCTATTAGAGATAGCGGGAGACATTATGGTAACCATTGTTGATCACCTGTATTATGTTTTTACATTATCTATTATGTCCACCCTTTTGACTTGACCGATTCTGTTCTGTTATGTCACATTTGGTTTTACTCTCTTCCAAAAAAGTAATAAGAACCGTGGGAGCAATGAAACCCAAAATGTGTAATAGTCATGGTACAAAAGAGAGGAAAAGAAAGTGCTCTAAACTATATAACTGCATGTATATTTAAGTGTATAAGATAGAAAATGATATCACAGAGTTTTATTGGATCAATGAACAGAACTGTTTGCAGTATCATTGATGGAATGTCCACTTTACAAGCTTTAATTTTGTGACTTGAACAATTATTTCTAAGATGACAATATGTAATCCATTAACTAGTGATTTCCTACTGTTCATTTTTTTTCTGTAAATCTGTATAACTTGTACCCTTTCCCTGCTTTTTTTTTCTTTTCTCCTTAAATAAAATTAAAAAAAAAAAAGATTACTATGGAGAACATAAAAAGAACTCAAAAAAAAAAGTCAGTTCTCCTAGATTTAAAGACCTAATCCAAAAATGGGCATCTGAAATAAATACACACTTCTCTGAGAATGAAGAAATACAAACAGCAAATAAATACATGAAAAACATTCAATATCAGTCACCACTTGAGAGATGCAAATTAAAACAACACTGAGATTCCATCTCACCCTAGAAAAAAATGGCTAGTATCAAGAAATCAACCAATAACAAATGCTGGTGGAGTTGAGGGGGAAATGAACCTTCCTCCACTGTTGGTGGTAGTAATATAGGCTGGTACAACCACTATGGGAATCAGTGTGGAGATTCCTCAAAACCTAGAACTACAGGTTTCATTTGATGCAGCCATTCCTCTTTTGGATATCCTCCCAAAAGAATTAAAAGCATGTCACAGAGATATATGCACACTTATTTCTATAATGGTAGAGTTTATAATAGCCAAAATTTGGAAACAACCTACGGGTGCCCATCAACTGATGAATGGCTATGGAAGATGTGGTATTTTTATACAACGGAGTACTACTCTACGGTAAAGGACATGTTCATAAGACATTTCTAGGTAAATGGACGCATCTTGAGACAATACTCTTAAGTGAAATAAATCAGACACACGTGTCTGAAATCCCATTGTTTCTTCTGTGTGAGAAACCCAAAGGTTAAATAAGGACCTAAATATGTAATAGGTATTGTAACAGGAAGAAAATGTTCAAATGGGGAGGGGAAGAAGTAAAAGCGGAAGGAGAAAGGAAAGAAGTGAAAAGTAAAAGGGGAGAAGGAAAACATGGACACAAAGCTTTTGTAAATGGAGAGGACTTGAGGGTAGGGTGGGGAAATGGGAAAAAGTTCCCTACGATGAATATGATCCCTATGTATACCAAAAGTGTACCAGTAAAATCTGATTTTAAAAATAAATAAAAGGAACAGAAAAACAACAAAAACCAGCAGTGCCTCTACGCTAGCCCCGCCCAGAACCCACACAGTCTGAACGACGAAACGGTGCAGTACCGGCATCTCCACCAGGCGGCACCAAATATCATCGCTAGCCCGCCACCAGCTGACTTCCGGAAGCGGAAGTAAAGCCCGTCCCTCTATTCGATGCTTCCGGCTCTCTGCGCCCGGATGCACAGCCTGATAACTGGGATGGCAGGAGGGCGGAGCAACGGGGACTGTGAAGGTGGCGAGGAACTGGTGTAGCTGCCCGGCAGGGCCATTGCGGCCGCGAGCTCAGGGGAGTCACGCGTCCTGCCCCGTCGCCAGGCGGGTCCCCCCGCGCTCGTGGCCGCCACGCCCATGAATCAGAAGGCTCGCGCTGCGCTGCTGCCTCTGCAGGACGTCGGAGACACGGTGAGCACGCTGGTGGAGGGGGCGGGGTCCCCCTCGGTGGTCCTGTTACAGCGCCCGGAGCTGCAGCTTGGCGGAGACTGTGGCCAGGCCGAGAGACACTCATGGCCTTCCATGCCTAGAGAGTAGGGCCTGTGCTGGCACACTGTCACGCCCCCTACGCTCCGGATTGGCTGCCGCGGGAACACCCGGCTGCCATTGGTGGACGCGGGGCAGGGCCTAGCTGGCGCCTCCGTTTCCCTGCTTACAGGCAGTACCTGGCCAGCAGTTAGCAAATTGTTTAAGTGCTACTCGTTTCTTCTGTCTGTGTTCTTTTATGATTGCCTATCTCCTCATACCTCAACAACTGAACTAATTTTAAAACATGAAGTCCAGGGCTCAGAAATTTAGCTCAGCAGCACAAGCTCTTCCCTGGCAAGAGCGAGGTCGTGAGTTCAATTCCTGATACAAAAAAACAAAACAAAAAAAAAAAAAAATCAAGTCCACTCTGGAGGGCAGAAGGTGTAGTTCATGGGTAGCCAGCACTCTTGACTCGCGAGTCCCTGGGTTCCATCCCCAGCACCACAAGGGAAGAAGATTAGGTCCACTCTCAAGGCGGAGGGGGATGGGGGTCGGGGATCCACTGTTGACAAAGTTGTAAGGCCAGTTACCTGCTGTTTTGTTTCTGTTTTGCATCTGAAATATTGATTTGTATATACTATTGGTATATACTTGCTACCTGCTCTGTTAACAGACTTTGAAAATTACAAACTTTTAAAATACTTATGGGCTAAACGTGTGTCCAATCACTTCTGTGAAAATAAAGTCTTTGAAAAGATAGCTTAGGAGAACGGAGTCGGTTGGGAGTGAGTGACCTCCTTAAAGTAGGTCCGGTGACTGGGAACCTGCGGGACGCGGTGCCCAGGAGAACTGCTCAGAAGATGTAGCTGCAAGTCATAGTCTGATTGTAGCAAACGGCTGGAAGGAGATTAAGCAGTCTTTGGATGGAGCATTCAGAGTCCATTGCATTTTCGCGTATGGAATTTTGCTCAAAGGAGAGCCACGTACAGGCTTCCTCGTAAGAGTCGTTCATTTATCACTGTTGAACACCTGTATATCAGACTCCCTACTCTGTTCCTGACATACCACTGTGAGCCCCACTGATAGGAGGTGTGACCACTCCTTTACGGATCCCGCATTGATAATGGAGATGGTCATGAGTGCTACTGCACAAGGCCCAAGTAGAGAAGTTAGGAAGCAGTGGAGGAGCTAGGGTAGAGAGACAGTACCTCAGTTTTCAGGAGTGGGAGGAAGGCAAGGAATCCTCTGCGATGGTACAGTTACATTGAAGGCTTTGCACATAGGCCTAGGAAGCAACGAACTGTGTGACGGATGAAGCCCTGTGCAGCCAGTAGTTCGGACTTTATCCTGAGAGAAATAAAGGTACTGAAGTTTAAAAATTTTATTTCAATTAAGAGTGACTGACAATTTCTCCCTAGTGTAAGAAATAGTAAGAATACATAAAAGTATGTGGTAACTGTGATTCTCCATTATATTGCTTTGAAGCCTTATAATGTTTTCATTCATTAGTTGGAATGGTTTTATTCTGGGTTGTCTGATTTTATTGTCTGTGATGGTATGAACAGCTATTTTGAAGAAAACAAGACATTATAATAGCTAGTGCTGATTTAATATCATCTTGTTTTGAAGTCTTACCAAGCTTTTGTTCTTCTGTCTCCATCAGTTTTATCATGTTGTATCTTACTGGATTTTATTATATGTGATAGTATAAACAAAAATTTTTATTGACAAGGAGACAATATAGTAATCATTGTTCGGTTTCTATTAGTTGGTTTTGAATACCCTTTAATACTTTAATTCTCTTGAATGGTTTTATACTGTCTTGTTATGTTTGATACTATAGTGTATGAAGGTATACTCAAATATTTCAAGGAAAGAAACACTATGGTAGCTACTTAAAATTGTGCAAAACATTAAATTTCTCATTAAAGGATTTGTTTACCAAGTTGACTCTGGCTGCAGGATAGAGTGCGGATTAGAGGTGTCCAAGAGATGACATGCTGAAGTGGTGACCATCATTAAGCGCCAGGATGAGTAAAGGAAGTTAGGATTTGGAAGCTGTTCAAGATGTAGGATGAGAAAGTATGGAGAGTTTGTGGCTTGGGAAGCTGAGCAGATAAATGGTAGAGCAGTCTCTGATGGGAAGCACTTGAAGGAGTGGTTGGGTGCAAGAGAGAGCGTTTCAGAAAACTGAGAGGCTGGTGCAGCATCTAAGCCTGTGGCTGTTTGAGTCTGAAGCTCTGGCTGGTAAGAGGTTGCACTTGTGGATAGAAGGATGCACCTTGATGCCTTGGGAATGGCAGTGGAGTGTGGGAGCATGATAGAGGAGAAGAGGAGGAGAAACTTGAAAAAAATCAGTCAGGCAAAGTGATACAGAAATCAGGAGGCTAAGGCAGGAGGATCGCCAAGTTGAAACCCAGCCTGCTGGGCAGCCTAGTAACTTAGAAAGTCCCTATCTCAAAATAAAAAATGTTAAAAGGGCTGAAGATACAACTCAGTGCAAAGACTCTGGATTCAACCCTCGGTACCATGCACACAAGAAAGAAGTAGTAAATAGTGGTCCACAGAGAACCTAAGGAGTGTCCTAGATTTTCTCTTTAGCCTGCGGATGTAGTAAAGAGAGTGAACTTAAGAGTCCTGGCCAATAGCTTCAGCCCTGTGACTCAGGACACATTTGCAGCCAGTGTGAACTTCTCTTTTATCAGTAAAGTGGGCTTAAATACCTAGCATATAGAGTGAGCTTTTGGGTTGTTGGATGTATATGCCACACCCACTGATACTTCTGGGAGTAGACTAGAGAATAGGTTGGCACCACTGAGGTAGAGACTACTAAGGAAACCCTGAGGATGGAAATGTGAGGGTATGCAAATAGCACCCAAATGGAGCTACTTTTATCAAAGCCGAACTAAATGAAGCAAACAATGGTCACATGAGTATTTGCCTTATAATAGGAATTGTCACAATAGATGATCAGTTCTAATCTCAACCTTGAAGTATCTTTGCTAACCACGACTGCTGGCCACAGTTGACTTTGAACCTGTTGAATTTGAGATGCTCACAGATGCCACAGAATACAGCACTTTGAGCATGCAGTAGTTGGTTTGGTTTTACCCGCTGGTTACAAACCAGCTGCTAATACATCAGAGATGATGGGAATGTGATTGTAACTCCAGCATTCAGTCATATGAATGTATCTAGTCCTCCCCTTAGTTTTGTAGTTTAGTTTTAACTTTCTCATCAGATGGAATTTGGGATGATCTCTCTTCTCTGTGAAACAAGTTCTGTAGATTGCAGACATTTCAGTTCCTGGTAGTAATTATGTAAGGTGTTCAGTGAGAAACTTTGTATTTATCTTGCTGTATTAGGACTACAGTGTGTCACTTATTTGAAAAAAAAACAATGCAAATGCCACTTAGGGAGAGTGTCTTTGTAAATGAGCATTGCCAAGTGCTTCTTTGGAGAAGAGAGCTTTTTAAAATGCTTTTTAAACAACACTGTTTGCAACTCTCCTGGGTTCTAGGGACCCAGGAAGTAGTGCCTCAGATGTGTTTGAGAGAGACGGGTTTAGAACCCATAGGTGTTCTGCCTTCTGGTGGTACCTACAAATAAGTCATGTGTGTATCAGTGCAAGGGCCACCCAGGGATGGCTCCGGCTATGTAGAAACCACCAGTGGTCTGCTTACATCCTGGTGAGATGGTTCATTGTAGCAGAATGAGAAATTTTTAAACAAAAGAAATCTGGAGATTGTACTGGAAGAGATGCTTCTCTTTTACATTGTGCTGTGTCAGAGTCACATTTGCTTTGACTTGTGCCTATAAATATATACAGATCCTGTAGCCAAGAGAGCCTGTAAACTAACAGGTTATAGTTAGCATTACATTCATGTAATTTTGCTTTTACAAAGATAAAGAAACAATCATTAGCTCTTTTGAGTCAGAACAAAGAGAGAAATGTAAGCAGCATAGAAATAGATATATTGCTTAGTGAAAACAAAGTTATCAGCAGTACCATTAGTGCCAGGGAGACACACACACCACGTGAAGTGCACAGTGTCCCAAACGCATTCCAGCACTGTCCCCAGCTACATTTTTCCCATCTCTTCGATGTGAAGATAATATGAGGCACCAGCAGATCAGTATAAAGATCGTTATAAAGGAAGTCTCTGGTCCAGGTCTCTGGTGCAGAAAGCTATGTGGTTTGTTATGTAGAACTGCTAATGTAGTGTTCTCTTGTCCTTCAGCTACATCCAGTAATAAAGGCTTTCCTGTGTGGCTCCATCAGTGGGACCTGTTCCACCCTACTTTTCCAGCCTCTGGATCTCCTTAAAACACGCCTGCAGACTCTCCAGCCCTCAGACCATGGGTAGGCTTGCCACCTGCATTTCATTGAGAAACTGGGTTCAACAACTTTTACGTTATTGAACCACTTTACCAGTTAATCAACTTTTTTTATTTTGGTGGATGCTCATTGAGAAAAACAGACGTGCTCAAGTTCCGTGTGTCTTCCGTGTACTTTTCCCTGTGAATGTATTTTTGTGTGATAATTTCTCTAGTTAAATGGGATCTTTTGCTAACCAGTTCCATAGAATCTGCTTTGATGATATTTACATTTTATTGTGCTAGCTTGTGATGACTATATAGGCTTCCTTATTTAATAGTGGAGCTACCATGACTAAATGAATTGGTCAGTAAATGAGAAATTGTATGTTGTTTGTACATTACAATATTGTACCACCTAGGAGTGGATGGCCTTCTAGAAGTAATGTCAGTTTTGAGTGTCTATTTTGTGCGCCTTAGTGGAGCCCAACATTATGGGGAGTATATAAAGCGTATATAAAATGAGAGGTTATCCCGTGGCTGCCGTGTAAATGGACAGATAGAAATGTACACATGGGAAGTCAAGAGTAATTCTAGGATGCATTGAAGAGATTCCTAAGTGTTTTAGAAAACAGTATATACAAACCAAGTTTGATAGAGCGCATCTATAATACCAGTTACTTAGGAGTCTAGGGCAGCAGGGTAAAAGTTCAAAGCCACCCTAGGCAACTTGCTGAGTCTGTCTCGAAATAAGATAAAGGACCTGGGTTACCACTCAACACTAGAGCGCTTTCCCAGCATGCACCAGACCCTGAGTTCAATCACTACTGTAAGAAGGAGAAAGGAAGGGAGGGAGACAGAGAAAGAGAGAGAATGAGCTAAGAGAATTAGAGAATAAATAGAAGTCTTGGAGTGGGAAGGGCCTAAGTGATGTTCTTCTCTTTTGTTCCCTCTTACCTGCCTTCAGGTCCAGACGCATTGGGATGTTGACTGTACTCTTGAAGGTGGTTCGCACAGAGAGTCTTCTGGGCCTTTGGAAAGGGATGTCCCCCGTAAGCAACTTCCTGGGTCTGGGTTGTCTTGCAGCAGCCATCTCTCACCCACCTGACCAGCTCTTAGATACACCATCCGCAGTGGCCAGAGCACAGTATGCCCCCATCCATGGTTTCATGTTCTGTGGTGTCCATCTCCAGCCCACCTCAGTTCAAAAACATTAAATGAAAGTTCCAGAAATAAACAGTTCCTAAATTTAAAAAACGTACTGTTACAGGTAGTTTGATGGAACCTCAGGCTGTCCTCCTCAGTCCAGTCCAAGATTTGAATCATCCCTTTGTCGGCACACCTGCGCTATGTGTGCCACCTGCCATCTCGGTTATCTGGCTGAGTGTGGGAGGCCTGCAGTGTTCGTTTCAGGTAACCCTTACTGTACTTCATAGTAGCCCAGCACAGAAGAGCAGTGATGTTGGCAATTGGTCTGTGTCAAAGAGAAGCTTTTAAGTGAACAAGTAGTTAAGGACAGAAAAAGAGTTCCACACAGAGTGCTAATATCTATGACAAGAATAAATCTTCTATGAAATTGTGAAGGAAAAAGAAATTTGTGCTAGTTTTGCTGTTGCACCTCAAATTACAAATGTTGTGTGATAAATGCAAAGTTAAGATTGAAAAGGCATTAAGTTTGTCAAAGGCATGAACATAGAACTTGTTCTAGTCGTTGGCAGTGCTTTGTACCAAAAAGCATTGAGCTGTATGTGAAACTTCAGCAAGAGGTCTCTTGAAATAAGTGTCTCCATTTAGTGCAAGTAAAGGATGGTTTCACAGATTCAGAAGTAGGTTTGGGCTAAAATATAGAGAAATTACTGGAGCAGTTCAAACTGCTAGAAGCAGCTGTGCTACGTTTCCAGCAGAATTGAAAAAGTTGGTGAAGGTGAAGAGTTTCCACCCAAAGCAAGTCTTCGGGTGCAGTGATCCCAGGTTTATCTGCAGGAACATGCATAGCAGAATCTGCGTTCGTGAAAGTGCCGAGGAGACAGCAGGACACAAATGAAGTGGAAGGACATGATGAAGCCATCAAATGCGTTAACACATGAAGAAGCAGTGCTTGTTGAGTCAGGTACAGAGAAAGAGGAAAATGAAGGAGAAGAAACTGGAGCAGAGCTTGGGATACAAACATCAAAACTTGTTTTAGATTACACAGACATTAAAGGACAAAATTACAGAATGTGACCCTTGGACAGAACATAGCATTAGTCAATGCAGATAATCAAGGGTTTATAGCCTCTGCCGTAACACTTTGAGGACATAAAGAGATACAAACTTGCAACTACAATTTTCTTCCAAAAAGTTTCCACCACAAACTCAACTATTAAGGATTCCAGCCTTATCAGTATCATCTGCTTTTGACATCCAGTCATCAGTGTTGCCTGATGATCCTCCTGACATATTGTCAGGCCACAGGCAGCCTGATGTTACATCACAGTGCCTGTCATTCACGTCACTTCATCCCATCCCGTAGACATTTGATCATCATCACAAGAAGAAAGGGGAGAATAGTGTAGAGAGAGCAGAAGATCCCACATTCACAGAGCTTTATCATGGTGTATTCCTGTAGCCTGTTTTTATTCATTACTGCGCTTAGTTTGTCAATGAACTTTATCATTATGTGGATATGGGCAAGAGAGGAGTCAGTACATAGAGCTTGGTACTGTCTGTTGTACCCCCCCCCACCAAAAAAAAACAAGGCCCTATGAGATGAAAAATGGGGCAAGACGACAACGTCTTTTCAAAGAAGCACTTTTATTTTAGCTGGCCCAGTGACACAGTGCAGATGGAATTTGCAAAGCTGTGCAACTGAGTTAGAATTTTGACTGATTTTTGTAGTTCGTTTATGATTAGCTCATTGATCATTAAGTACATAGCAGTGAGAAACAGAAACAAGATGGGCCTTTGTTCCCCTTTGCTTGAGGTCAGAGGCATTTCACAGTGGGTGGTAGCCAATTCATAGCCCTTGGTCTGCCATTTCCAGGAACATTTGTCTCTCATAAAGGAAACAATGGTTGACACAGCATCATTTGTCTCTTTACAAGGGGTACAAAAGTTGACACAGCAATCAGGTTACTAGGGTGGGGAACGACACATACCGAACAGCATCACGACGCAGTCAGTTAATTTATAACAAATTCATGACAGTGTGGTCAGTGCTCCAGGTACATGGTTACTAGGGCGATAAGCATAGAGCATAACACTGTCTACTGTTTGAGACATTCCTTGGGAGTCTTGCAACACATCTTTCACTGGTAAGAGGGGACTTCTGCTGCACTCCTGCTCATTTCTTATACAGCATGAACTTCTGAAGGAGGGTTCAGGGAACTATCATGTCTACACCTTAGGTATGATTTCTTAGTGTGGCATAGTCTTTGTATCAGAAATGGCTGCAGCTCTGCCAGCCAGTGTTCTGATTCTTAACACTGCAGTGTATTTCTTTGCTCAAAGATTTTTTTTGGCCCTAAAGACTCACTGCTGGAAGTGCTAAAGCATTAATACTCCCACATCAGAGCACTTCTCGATCACTAAAAGATGGGAGTTGCCTTCTAAACTTCACGTTGCTCCCCATCAGGTGGAAGGAAAACACTGAGCTGTGTTCTACACTGTGTTGCAGAGTTCCCGAAAGAATTAAGTTGCCCACTGGTGCAATTGCTTTATAATACACCTCTTATTAGGTGGGCTACCCTCTCATTTCTTTGCCCACTTTCTGTTAGTGTTGCTGCTTGACCTTTAATAAACTACTTGCATGCAAGTCATCTTGGTGTCTTTTGGGAAAACCTAGTGAATACAGTATCTTACAGCATTGGTCTTTGATTTTATCATTTAATTATTCCTCCTCCTGACTTCTTTTGCAGTCCATCATGAGATGTGTCCCTGGTGTTGGAATCTACTTTGGCACCCTCTACTCTCTGAAGCAGTATTTCCTGCGAGGCCATCCTCCCAGTGCCCTGGAGTCAGTCATGTTGGGCATGGGCTCTCGATCTGTTGCAGGGGTGTGCATGTCACCCATTACGGTGATCAAAACACGCTATGAGGTGGGTTTGCTTTAGGGCTTCAGAGTGGGAACACAGAGCCACTGGTGTCAATTCTTGGTTTATATACTTACTGCTAAAAGTAGGGGTCAGAGGACTCGGGCAGAGTTTTGTCCAGCTTCATGTAAGCTGGAGCCACAGTATCTTGGGAGTACTGCCTAACCTGAAATGTATTAGGTCACTGCTCGAGCGCAGGGCTTCTCTGTCAGTGACTTAAATCTGTGCTCCTTTTTTAGAGCGGGAGGTATGGCTATGAGAGCATCTGCACAGCCCTGAGGAGCATCTATCGCAGCGAGGGCCACCGAGGCCTCTTCAGTGGCCTGACAGCCACACTCCTTCGTGATGCGCCCTTTTCAGGAATCTACCTGATGTTTTACAGCCAGACCAAAAGCATAGTTCTCCATGGTATGGACAAAGGAAGGCGTGGCGCAGAAGCAGTGTCTCCAAGACCTTGGGTTCTTTCTTTTCTCTGGGAGATGAGACTTGTATTTTTATTAGGTTTATATGGGCGGGGGGTGGGGTGCCAAGGTGGGAGTGATGGACTTAGCCCTTTCCCTTGTAATTTGTATTCCCCTACGGCAAATAGTTCTTGTGCTACTATGATTCATGAAGGGGGTCAGCAGTCAAAGAATGTTGTTTTTCAGAGGTCCTGCAATATCCCAGGACTTGTCCGTAAGATTCTGCCTAGTCAGCAGCTTTGGGGTGCAGGGTGGAAGTCTGTGAAAGCATCTGGTGTGATCCATATCATATAATTTTGGGAAATACCGATGGCTTAGTATGGATCATTGGTTTGTTTTTGAAACAGGGTTTTGCTGTGTAGTTCAGGCTGCCCTTGAACTCACTATTGTAGCCCAAGCTGGCCCTGAGCTCATGGCGATCTTCCTGCCTCAACCTCCCAAGTGCTGGGATTACAGGCATGTGCCACCAAGCACAGCTTAGCTTAGGATTTTGAGGAAAAACATATTTTCCCCTCCCTTGCTGTGTTACCAGGTAAAGTTGTTTAGAGTCCTTGTGGGCAAAATCTGTGGGCAGCAAATAGCCAACCAAGTGGAGCCGGCATTCAGTAAGATGTGTGGGAAGCTGTAATGCTCTCCTTCAGGACTGTTGGTGAGCTGCAGCCAGGGTTCTCTGGAGGATTTTGCTCCTTCACCTGTGCACAGTAGGTAGGACCTGCATGGTAGGACCTTATTTTGTAACAGAAAAGTGTGGCAGCGGCAATAAGAAAGAATGGAAGTGTGTGTGTTTGATTTTTTGGTGCTAGGGACTGGACCTAAGGCCTTAACCCTGTGTTGTATTACTGAGCTATATTCCTGACTCCAGGAGTACATTTTTAATTCTCATTTTATCTTATATGTGGAAATAATTTTAAATTGACAAAAAAGCCACAAAAACAGCCAGTATGTAACTTTTTTCTGAAAGTAAGTTGCAGACATGATGCCCCTTACCTTCAAGACCTCTGCATATTTCCTAAGAACAAGGACAATCCCTTATACCTTATTAAATTTGGGAAGTATAATCTAGGTGCTCCATATTTTCATTTCTCTAGTTGTCCCAGTAATGTATCTTGTAACAATTTTTGCCCATTTCCAAGAGCATAGATGACTTGTTACACCCAAATCTAGGTTTATCTGATAAGTTTATGTGATTATCTTTGGTTTCATATTTTTTGCCAATAGACCACATATCTGACTCTATTCATAATGGTACTCATGATACTGTGTTTGTCCTATTGTGGCAATGTCTGCCAGCTGTTTCTCCTGAAAATTCAGTATGTTTTTCTTTTGTAATTCCCTAGATTCCATAGATAGATAACTTTAAATCCTGTTTTTTTTTTCACCCATACATTCCAGTACCCTTAATGAATCAGGATAATGGTTTGTAAAGTGTGCTTTTCTACCTCCATCATTCCATTCCACATGTAGTAGTTGCACCTTTAAAATTTTAATTCCTGGCCTAGGTTGGTAGTGCACTCCTGTAATCCCGGTACTCAGGAGGCTGAGGCAGGAGGATCGTTGCAAGTTCAAAACCAGCCTGGGCTACAAAATGAACCCCAGGCCAGCCTGAACTGCCTAGTGAGACCCTGTCTCAAAAAGCCTAATTAATTAATGAATTAATTCTCTGTTTGAATTCACATCTTTCTGACTTTTGGGAAGAATAGATGGGTAGCTTGCATTGACTTTTTATGATGACTGTGAGATTCTAACTGCAGGTTATTTGTTTTATTTCAGACCAGTTGGATGTAGCCTTTGCTCCCATTGTGAATTTCACCTGTGGTATATTTGCTGGTATTCTGGCCTCATTGGTAACTCAACCTGCAGATGTTATCAAAACGCATATGCAGCTCTCCCCAGTGAAGTTTCAGTGGATTGGCCAAGCAGTAACACTCATTTTCAGAGTAAGACTGTGGCATAAGTACTGGTTCTTCTGGCTAAAAACCTCCCTCTAGAGCAGTCAGTTGTTGTCTGTCACTCATATTAGGATAATTTTTTAAAATGTCTTTTTGGACAGGCACTGTGCCACTGACCTAGATCCCCAGCAAAATGTCCATTTCCAGATTAAAATGTAGGATGGTTGGGAACCTCAGTATCTTTTTTAAGAGGCTAAGGGTGTGGCCTACTGGTAGAAAATATGCTTATTATGTGGGAGGCCCTGGGATGGATCTCTGTCACCAACAAAGAAGAAAACATTTCTTTTAAAGGTCCTCGGTGATCCCAACGTGTTGCCAAGACTAAGAATCACTGAACCTATTTTTCTAGGGGAAGAGGCAGCTAGAACTACCTATGCATCAGCAAGCAAATTGCTTGATTCTACCTCAGCTCGACTCAGTCAGAAAATCTAGATGACTGTAAAACTAATTAAGGAGCTAAGACAAAATATGATTTAGAAAGAAAAGCACAACTTTATTTCGTTCTAGCAATTTCCTCTTGTAGAAATGTACATTAGAAATTTTATTATTATTGAAGCTTAGAAGTTTTATAGATCTATGGGGCACTAATGTAATATTTAAAAACTAGTGCTTTTAAAGCCAAAAAAGGATTGAGCCTTTTGGGACAGTACTATTATCACAAACCAGATAGTCTTTTAAAACTAACTGTGAATGTCAATCTAATATTCCTTACACTAATTAAGGTGTCTTCTTTCTTATTCTATGTCCCTAAAATCATAAAAGTTTTATAATACTAGATTCTTCAGGCCAGGCATAGTGGTGCATGCCTGTAATCCCAGTACTTGGGAGGCTGAGGCAGGAGGGTTGTTGCAAGTTCAAAACCAACCTGGACTACAAAGTGTGTTCAAGGCCAGCCTGAACTACATAGCAAGACCCTGTCTCAAAAAAAAAAAAAAGAAAGAAAGAAAGAAAGAAAGAAAGAAAAAAAGAAAGAAAAACAATAGATTCTTTGGTGTGTGTGAAACTGCAAATCATTCCAGATTATGAGAGAGAGAAATGTTTTGTTTCCCCCTGACCAGTACCAGGGATCGAACTTTATGACCATGTGCTTGAAAGGCAAGCGCTTATGCCGCTGAGCTAAATCCCCAACCCTGTTTTGCTTTTCTTAGATAGGACCAACCTGGGGGTTTAGCTCAGCGGTATAAGTGCCTACATGGCATACGCAAGGTCATGAGTTTAGTCCCAGTAAATAAATAAACAAAAATGAAAAGAAAGATAGGATCACAGTGAAGCATGGTGTCACACACTTAGAATTGCTGTCACAGGAGGATCACAAGGGTTCAAGACCAGCGTGGACTGTGTAACAAGATTCTGTCTCCAAACACCAAAAGATAATTCAAAAAAAAAAAATTTTTTTTTTTTATCGATACCAGGGATTGAACTCACAACCATGCACTTGCAAGGGAGGCGCTTATGCTGCTGAGCTAAGTCCTCAGCCCCCAAAAAATTTTTTTAAAAAGACTGAGCCACCAAAAGAGCATACAGTGAATTCTAAAAAAGTGTTCCCTGCTGATAGATGACAAACTAACTTTTCCTTCATCCTGGGTCCACGGCTTGGCAAATAAATTTGCATCTGGTTTTCATTTGCCACTGTGGCTCAGTACTTCTGTAATGTTTGCAGACTGTACAGCTGTCCACAGTAACCTACATATGCTAAGGGGGCTGAGGGTGGATCTCTGGTAGAAAACATACTTAGCATTCAGCAAGTTTGGGTTTCTTCCTTACCACCTCTCCCCCAAATAGCTTTTTAGCTGTGAAATTCTCTTAAATAGAGCAGGGCTAAAACTCTAAAGCCTACAACTACACAAAAAGGATTTTTAAAATTTATTTGTTACCTGCTTGGACCCATTTTTCATAGATCTGGCATACAGTTTAGACTAGAACTCAAAAAGTCGGGCAACTCAGAGCTACTCTTTCTAGTATCAGGAGGATAATTAATTGAGTTACTACTTTGCTTGTGGAGTTTGATCCTTATTTTCTTCATAGGACTATGGGCTGCGTGGTTTCTTTCAAGGCAGTGTTCCCCGGGCCCTCCGCAGAACTCTGATGGCAGCAATGGCATGGACAGTCTATGAAGAGATGATGGCGAAGATGGGCCTGAAGTCCTGAGAAGAAAGGACTGGAAAGAGTGTACAGTCGTCCTGCTTGGTTGCTGCTTCATCGCACTCTGCAGTCAGGTGCAGTCCTGCCTGGAGAGCCAGGCAGAAACACTCCAGCCTCCATTCAGGAAGAGAGAGGGTCTGTCTGACTGGAGCCCTCTGTCTTGCTGAAGTGGAGTCACCAGTACACACAGCACCCTCCCTGGGTTAGGGTTAGGGTTAGGGTTAGGGTTAGGGTTAGGGTTAGGGTTAGGAGAAAGACCTGCACACCCCACAGAGCTCCTGGAAAGGCATTTCAGAGAGATCATTGCCAGGTAGCATCACCTCCCTGCCCGGTCTCCTTTGGGATGTGCTTGTGTAAGGAATCATAGTACAGAGTCCTCCTGCCTCTCTGAGGAGCTGCCATGGGGAGACTGTGTATGGTGCCTGTCATGGTCAGCGGGCTGACAATTGTGTCGGAGGTGCTGTCCTGAGGAGGAAGAGCTGAAGTCAGTATTTGATTGATCCCTGGCCAATTCAGCCTCTGCACAATGAGGGCAGTGACTTACTGGCCTTCAAATGAACAAAGAAACCTGTTTGATCTTGGCCCCTGCAATATGTAAATCTAAGATACTCTTAAAAAAAAAATCTAAGATACTCTGGCATTTTCCACAGCTGAAGTTCAGATGCATAAAGTAAAGCACTTCATCAGTGAAAGTTGTTTGGGAAACCTAAATAGTGTATTTTATCACTCTGTTGGAAAATAACAAAATAGTTCTTGGGTGGTTAGCCATTGACCTATGGAGGTCTCTAACCAAAAACCTATTTAAAAAAATAAAACAACTTTATTTTACATATTCGGCAGTTCATTCATTTCAGGTGTACAGTTCAGTGGTGTTTAGTAACTTTGCCGACTGGTGCAACCATCACCATAAGTCAGCTTTAGAAAACATTCATTCCCAGGAAGATTTTTCCCTCCCTATTCGTTCGTAATGAAGCATTCCCCAGCCTGCCACTTATCTCCTGAGCACTTACACAGTGGAGTCATAAAATGTGTAGTCTGTTGCCTACCAACAGCTGGTTTCTGAGGTTCATTACAATGTGGCATTTCTATATTTTCCCTTTTATGACCGAATGTTGTATTGTATGCATGTATAGTTATACCTCAGCATCCAGGGACCCCAAAATCAAAGGTTGTTGAAGTCCCTTAAGATGAAAACTAGCAAATATTCACATAAAACCTACATAATTCTATATACTTTGTCATTTATATGTTATTTTTAATATCTAATACAGTATAAGTGCCATATACATGGTTCTATGCTGCACTAAGGAATAATGATAAGGAAAAAATTCACTATACACATGTGGAATCTAAGGATATGGACCATGAACTGTACTATTCTCATTATCACATAATAGGTTGTTTCCACTTTGTATCACAGATACTGAATATTTGCGTAACAGCATGTGGTTGTATGCTTGAGAGTGTTTAGTGTGACTGAAAAATACAGTGGATGTGTAAAAATGTATTGCTGTAAAAACGTTGCCATTGGTTCCCCCTGAAAACACCTCCCCTTGCTTTAAACACACTTATCCTATCATTCTTGCTGCTTTCTGAAGCAGTTCTGGAAATCCTCCTTTATGAATTTAGTTTGTTGTGGCTGCCTCCATGTGCTGAATTGATTAAAAAATATTTACCATTTATGGTCATTTTGACATTGGAAAGAGCCAGAAGTCAAAAGAGGATATAGTGTACTGTCTTGTGAGCCTAGTTGGTGCTCAGCAACCGTGTTGAGCGTATTATTGATTACACATAAAGACATGAGAACTTGCAGAACTGCTTTAGAAAGTGGCAAAAATGATGTGATGCTTTCAAGGTGAGGAGGATTATTTTGAGGGGAATCAGTGGCAATGTTTTATGTAATAATTTGAAAAATTTTAAATATTCACCCTATGCTTTTATCACACTGTGTATCTAGAAGTGGAAATGATGGGTTATGTGGTGATTCTGTTTTAATACTTTGAGAAAGTACTCCTAAATGGCTACATGTGTCATTTTACATTCCTGGCAGCAGTTTGTTGATTCCAATTTAGCCACATCCATTTCAACATTTGTTACTGTCAGATAACTCTGTTACCGGATACTCAAGTACTTTCTTTCAACTTAGGGAGAGCTGTTACTTTATCCAAGAGTAGATAGGATGGGGAGGGAGGTCTTGTGGCTAAGAAAATGAGCTCTGATCTAGGTGGCTGTTTTAGTTACCTTCTCATAGGTGAGACAAAACACCCAACACTCACAGGTTAAAGGATGAAAAGTTTATTTAGCTCGTAGTGTATAGAGATTTCGGTTCGTGTTCAGCTGACTCTAGGCAGAGGAGTGTGACAGAGAAGAAACAGTCCATAGCATAGCAGGCAGAAGGCAGCAAGCGACAAGCAATTATTCTCTCTACCCCTTTATATTCTATCCAGGATTTAGGCTTATTGGTTTGTGCCACTCACACCCAGGGTGGCTCTTCCCATTATCCATACCCAGAACTGCTAAACCAATCAGTGGACTAGTTTAGTTACTACACACCTTTAACCCATACTCACACACCCTTTATCCCACTACCTCTGAAAAGCTTCACCTGTGAGTTTATGAGGCTTTGGGGGACATCTAGATATGAGCTGTAACAGTGGTTTAGGCTAAAATTAGCTTTTCACTCAAAACATGATATTGAACATGTGCCAAGGACACAAGGGTATTAATATTTCCTACCTTCTAGTTTGGTGGTGAGAGGTGAGTATGCTTCTGGATTATATGGCTGTCCCAAAAAACTAGTTGCAAGCTGGGTAGCATCAGTGGTTGTCAGTCATGATACCTCTAAGGTATAGAGGCAAATTGCTTGTCTGTTCACTGTTCAGTTTCTGGTAGTTAACTGCTGGTAATCCCTGGCATTGCTAGGTGGTAGATGCATCCCTTCAATCCCTATCTCCATATTCACAATCCCTTCTCCCTGTGTCTGTGTCTCTATAAACTTCATGTAAGAACTCCAGTCATTTGATTAGGGCTCACCGCAACCTAAAATGACCTCATTTTACTTTGATTATGTATGCAAACTGGGCAGGGTGGTGCAAGCCCATTATCCCAGCACTCAGACTGGGCCAGGAAGACTATAAATTCAAGTCTAGCGATTACAGTGGGCTGGCTGAGACCTTGTCTAAAAAACATTGAAAAAGGCTGAGAATGAGTCTTAGTGCAAACCCGAGGTTCCATCCCCAATACAAAAACAAAACAAAACCAAAAAAGTAAGAAAAATACATGTGAATACCCTGTTCCTAAATGTCAGACACTACACAGGATGAGGGGCACAACTCAACTTCTATTACATGTACTAAATTTACCTAATGATTTTAAGTTTACAGTTAAGTTATACCATAGAGTTTAAGTTGAAATATCTTACTCTTAAATAATCTGGGTAAGGATGTGGAAGCAGACAGCAGGGTCCTAGCCTCAGTGGCACCCAAGTCACTAGTGAGGTGACTTGTGAGTCCCTGGGCTAGAGGAAGCACTAAGGAATAAAAGACAAGGGAAGACAGGTTGGGTGTTGCTGCTGCCTCCTAAAAAACGCTGAGATGGGCTCCTGCACGCCCTTTTTTCAGGGCTTTCCCAGTCTCCTTTGACCCTCATCCTAGCCTCCAAACCTAAGGCAGGCCTGGGCTGGGCAATTTCAATCACAAGTGCCCAAGACTTCTTCATTTGTTGGGATGTAGAGGATGACAAACCTTGGGAAAATGTCTAATTTTCTCTAAAGATAAAACTGAAATTTGACTTTTTGAACATTGTGGCAAACTCCCCTAGCATACATGCCCCAAACTGCAAGAACTTACTTTTCCTTTTCTTGGTATTGTTATAGGGTAGCTCTTTAGAAATGATTCACTAGTCAAAAGTAGTCCAGGTCCTTGCTTTGAACAAAGAATTGCACAAGATAAGCCAAAATTGGTGCCAAAAGTTTGTTTTAAAAGTGCAGAATAAATTGGTGTGAGAAAAACCAGCCCTGAAGAGTGAACTTGTATGGAACTAAGAGAATAAAAGCAAAACAAAAGTACACACTGTGGCAACCTCACCCAAAACAAGTTTGTTGGTTGGTTTGCAGGCTGGGTCTCCTTATGTAACACCAGCTGGCCTTGGACTCAACAGTGATCATCCTGCCTCAGCCTCTGAGTGCAGGATTATAAACCCTTGCCACTACGCCCAGCCAAAACAGCAGTTTTGAAGCTTTCCACATCTGGAGCTCCTGTCCTCCTTTGGGACTTTGTCGAGGACAGGTTTAGCTCATTTTCCCAGCCAGCTGTGCCACCTCTTATTTCCTGTATTAATATTAAAGCTCAGAAAGAAAGGAAGTGAGCTTTCTTCAGCTGGCTTTGAACACACTGCCCTACACTTTACAACCAACCTGTGTTCCTCATTTTAAAAACTCACCCCCCCCCAAAGAAAACCCACCAGCTTTTTTTTTTTTTTTTTTGTCTTTTTCATTTTTATCGGTACCAGGGATCAAACTCACGACCGCCTGCTTGCAAGGCAGGTGCTTATGCTGCTGAGCTAAATCCCCAGCCCAACCCACTACCTTTTACACCAGTTTGGGCAGTGGTTCTCAACTTGGCTGCACGTTAATTAGGATTGTAACCTGTAGAAGTCTCCTCGTTTTCAGAACGAGATCAAAAATTTTTTTTTTAAATAAAGACGTTTCCTCGTTAGGCGTAGCGCCTACTTTTAAAACTCCAGGCGATTCTTAATGCAGCCAGAGTTGGAATATCGCGTCTGTAGTCATTAACAAATTAGCTACCAGTCAGCTTCTAACCCAGCTTCAAAACTTCATAACGGCCCTCATTGGTTTTTCTGTACCATAAAAATCTTAGTTTTGAATGGCTCTTAATGTATTGGGCGGAATAAATCATTATTAGCATCCTATTGATGGTTTTTGGATTTTTTTTTTTTTTTTTTTTTTGGTACTGGGGATCAAACACAACCTTACGCTTGCCAGGCAGGCGCTTATGACACTGAGCTAAACCCCTAGCCCCTGATTTTTGGAATCTTTTGCTTAAAAACTTTTTTCATATTTCAAAACTATGAACCATGCGTCATTAAGTTGCTCTCCAGCTCCGCCGGCACGCGGGATGCCGCACCGCCAAGCTTCCGCGTCCCGCAGGCCCGCCGCGGCACAGCAATGCACAAGGCACAAGGCGCAGCAGCGGCGCTTATTCCTGAATCTTGCAACCCAGGCCCTCGAGCAACGATAGGCGACCGCTCCACTGGCGAGACCGAGTCCTCTACATGCCAGAATCATTCACAACAGGAGCGGGAAGGGGATAACGCAGAAGCCCAGCAGCGTCAGCCTCCCGCCTCCGCCCGCGAAGCCCCGCCCTGCCGTCCAGTCAGCTTCGCGCCAGCCTTCCGGAAAGGAGGCCCCGCCCAGGGCGCCCCCCTGGACACGCCCTTCTTCCGTTTGAGTTTCTCAGCCATTGGCTAAAGGCGGACTATATAAGGACGTCATTTCCCGTGGCCCAGTCTTTCCGTGCTGCCCAAGCAGGGGTCCATACGGCGTTGTTCTTGGTGAGTGGTCTGTGGGTTTCCCAGCACCTCCAACGCCGCCGGGAAGAACTTGCTGGGCAGGGGACGGAAAGAGCCAAGCAGGCCGAGAGTGTGCTTAGGCTCGGCGCGTTCTGCCTTCACCGGCGTCTCGCACGTGGCTAGGCCTGGTCGCCCGAAGCCTTGAACAAATTGAGCTGAAGTGGCGGCAGCGGAAGTCGCGCCCTGCTCCACGGCGCTGTGCGTCGGGCCCAGCTCCCAGCTTGGGTCGAGCCCAGGCCCTCATTTTCCGCAGCGTCTTGGCTGATTGAGTTTTAGTTACTTTAGGAGTGAGGCAACTGGAAGAGAGGGCCGACAGCCTGTCGGTAGCAAGTGAGTGAACGGTGAACCAGGACCCAGGGCCAAGGACGAACTTCCGCAGGCGGTGTGAAACACAGCAGTTAAGGCCACTCCATATTTTGTCCTGCAAAATAATGTGCTTTTTACTCATTTTTTCTTTAATTGCACGTACTGAAGTTGGTTAGAGTTTCTGGCTTGCTGTCGGTCATTTTATATTTACAGCCACGTGTGACAGGTGGCCCTAAACAGTTCCTATGCTCTGCTTTTGTATAAGTGACTCCGGGTTGCAGAGCCCTGCAACCACCCACTCCGACCAAACCCAGGAGCTGTTCTGCCAGTAAAACTCCTACCACCTGCTTTTGTTTGCAGCTTCATTTGTCAGCCTTTGGGAACTATGAGCTTGCTACATAAGGCATGAGGGAATAATTCTGAAATACCCGTTTACGGTCTTTAGAAATACCCGAAACCTTTGACTGTATACCCCCGCGTACAGTGATCTACTGTTTTTTTAGGTACCTTGAAAAGTATAAAGGGCTGGGCGTGATGGGACATACCTGTAATATCTACCGGTGGGAGGCTGAGGCAGGATTGCATTGAGTTGGAAGCCAGCATGTACTCCATAGGGAGACCATGTCTGAAAAATACGTATGTGTTTTAAATTTCAGCTGCTGTTTTCAGGTTGTTAATTTGGAATTCTGTAGCTTATACCACCTTTCTCTGCGAGGTTTGTTAGAGTTGTATTTGGCATGTATTCGTGAGTGTTGTGTTGGCTTCCCTTCACTCAGTACCTCACTCAAATCTAAGAACTATTTTTTTAAATATCAGGTTCCCATCGTAACTTAAAGGGAAACTTTCACAATGTCCGGAGCCCTTGATGTCCTGCAAATGAAGGAGGAGGACGTCCTCAAATTCCTTGCTGCAGGAACCCACTTAGGTGGCACCAACCTGGATTTCCAGATGGAGCAGTATATCTACAAAAGGAAAAGTGATGGTTAGTTGCAGATTTGACTTGTTATTTTAGCTGTAAGTGCAGGCTTTGGTTGTGCTGTTCTGAGGAGCATTACTGTTGGTGGGAGGGGTTTCTGAGCTCTAATGGCAGTTGCTGGGTTCTGGAACTTGAGTTGGGTAGTAAGCTGTGAAATGTGCAGACAAGTTCCTGGTAGGGCCTTCAGCTTCCTAGGTGCTAGAATTGGTTTACTGAACTGAATTCTGAGGGGAAACTAGGGTAAGAGGCAGGAATAAACAGTTAGCTCAGAATTAGTGGAGATTGGCTGTGGTAAGGACATGCTGACAAGCCTGGGGATTCAGCTTAAAGGCAGCCCCGAACCACTGAGATTCAGTGACAGCAAGGGAAGACTGACAAGCAATTTGGGGGCCTAATACTGCAGGAGGGAGACAGGGAAATACAGACTTTGCCAACTGAGTCAAGACTGCACACTATTAAAGCCCAGGTGGAGGCTAGTCTTGGCTGGCCAGTGAACTTCTGGGTGTCGGAAGTGTGCTACATTAATGGCAGGATTCTCGCTAACACCAGTAGAGTCCACCTCTGTGACTGGAGTTTGCTCTGGTACTCACTGCCACACACTCAGCTTTATAGAGGAATGTCCGTCTGCACTGCCCACGTGGAATTGGGATGAGGGATGTGTGCTTAGCGTGTGTGAGGCTCTCAACTCTACATGTTCTCACCTAGGGATCTACATCATAAATCTGAAGCGAACCTGGGAGAAGCTTCTGCTGGCAGCTCGAGCCATAGTGGCCATTGAAAATCCTGCCGACGTCAGCGTCATATCCTCTAGGAACACTGGCCAGGTTTGTGAACCATGCTTGTTTTTATACAAAGCTTTTTATTATTTCATTTCAGAAAGATTTTCCTTAGGGTAGGGACCCTAGTCCTCTCCACATCTTTTAAGGGTCTTTGGCAACTTGAGAAATAGCTTGGGTTTTTAATGGTTAGCAAGATATGTGGTTAAATCAGGTACGGATTGACTTGAGACTCCAATTTTTTTTTTTTCCATTTTATTTTGAATGTAGTAAAAATACAACAGAACAAAGGCAATCAAGACAATGTAGTGACATTGGTACAGAACTTCAAACCAAACAGAACATTGGGAAACCAATTGAAGGAGAATATTGAATAGAGCAAAACATAGCAGTGAAAACAATCTTTGCCTTCAAATAGAACATAGAAGGAAATCCCCCATATTTGCTATATTGCATATGGTCATCCTCCCAAGAGATGCTCAGACCTCTGTCCCCAGTTGCTGAGAGTGGGCAGGGGAAAGATGTTTAGTTCTCTCCACCAGCACAAGGGGCCCTTATCAAGAGGGCGGGCAGATTGCCTTCTTGTGCAGCCAGATAAGTCCCAACATGGCTGGAGACCCCCATTTTTAGCAAATTTAAAAATTAAATAGCAGCATTCTGCTGCTTCAGTGTTGAGGAATGGTGTGTTTTGAGATATGACTTCACTGTTTTCACCAGACCAGTCTGAGATTACAGGTGTGCAGAACCACACCTGGCTACTGTGAACATTTTTATAGGTTATTCCCCAGACTCAGCATTGTGAGGAGGTGCATTATGGAAGAAAGCTTTAATGTTGTGGAATGAGCTGAGTGACTACTTGTCTACCTCAGTGAAAATTAACAACTTTACTAGGTTGGAAAACACTTGGGATGAGGGTGGGGAGAACATTTTATTTTAGTAGGTCGAAGGCATAGAGTTGGGGACAAGCAGGTACTTGGTGATTAACCTAGAAGAAGAAAATAACTGGGGTTTGGGGTCCCGTGTCTGTTCTCCCCCCCCTCCGCTTTTTTTCCTGTGTTACTGATTAAATTTAGGTCCTAAAGTATCCTGGTAAGCACTGCCTCTGAGCTACACCACCAGTCCCTGATGCTGTGAATGTTAATTTGAGGGTTTCATTTTTGAGAAAGAGGTATGAGCATTTCAGCTAGACAGAGTGCTTCAGTCTGTACAGAACTGGGTGTCCGCACACTGTGTTCTTGTGAAATCACCCTTGGGGTGCTGCTAACTGTTTTCTATTTCAAAGCGGGCTGTGCTGAAGTTTGCCGCTGCCACTGGAGCAACTCCTATTGCTGGCCGCTTCACTCCTGGGACCTTCACTAACCAGATCCAAGCAGCTTTCCGAGAGCCGCGTCTTCTGGTGGTTACTGATCCCAGGGCAGACCACCAGCCCCTCACAGAGGCATCTTACGTCAATCTGCCTACCATTGCTCTGTGTAACACAGATTCTCCACTGCGTTATGTGGACATTGCCATCCCGTGCAACAATAAGGTAACCACTTCAAGATCTGGTTTGCTCTGGTTGCATCTTCAAGATGGGTGCTCTGGAAAACTGAACATTTCTGTGCACATTGTTAGAGCTTGGAGTTGAGGCTGCTGACTGGCCTATGGACTCTCAAGTGTAGGTAGTGTGCTACACGAGGGGCAAGGTTTTCGCTAACACTCCATTCCAGCCCCGTGGGTGGAGCTTGATAGTAGTCCTTGCTACAGATTGAACATTAATATGGAGCAGCTTTGAGGAGAAAGAACTTTTGAATAATGGCCTGTGTTTTCTGGCATTACATGGCCATTCTGTTTACAGGCAACAAAATGTAATTCCAGAATGATAGGTTGTTGTGGTTTGAATTAGTCTGCTCATTAACTGGTCTTAAAACTGGTGCAAATGAGAATTTGTCAGATAGGTTTTTGTTACTTTCACGACAGTGTACAGGGAACACTTGTACTCACTACTGTCTGAGGTCACACTTAGGTGCATGGGGTACCATCCTGACACTTGTTTTTTGCTTTTCTAATCCCCGTGATTTCAGTGTGCATACATTGAACTGTCTTGATTAGTAACGATTTTCTTTGTTAAAATCACTTTAAACATAGGGCTTCATTTGGTACCAGGGGTGCCATTCATTTGTGTGGGGTGGGTGAGGCGGATAGGGCTGAGCTTACCGTTTCGAGCTGTCTGGTACTTATTAATGACAAGGCCCTCTCCACAGGGAGCTCACTCAGTGGGTCTGATGTGGTGGATGCTAGCCCGGGAAGTGCTTCGCATGCGTGGCACCATCTCCCGTGAACACCCATGGGAGGTCATGCCTGATCTCTACTTCTACAGGGACCCTGAAGAGGTATGCTTCCTCCATAGAAGGCCCATGCATAGCATGGGCAGGTGGGGCACCTGAGTCTGCTTTTCAGAGGGGAAATTGTCCTTGTCACCTTGTTTTTTAAATCACCAGATTGAAAAGGAAGAACAGGCTGCTGCTGAAAAGGCAGTGACCAAGGAAGAATTTCAGGGCGAATGGACTGCACCAGCTCCTGAGTTCACTGCTGCTCAGCCTGAGGTTGCAGACTGGTCTGAAGGCGTGCAGGTGCCCTCGGTGCCCATCCAGCAGTTCCCTACTGGTATGTGTCGAGACCAAGGGCTTTACCCTGAGATTTGCATCTTCATTGCTGGTGAAAGTGTCTGACAGGCTGTGCAGCATGTGTGGCATAGATTGCTGCTGGAGTGGGATAATAAGGAACAGTGCTTTGGGGTCAGCACTGATGGATTTTTTGGTCTTTCCTTAACAGAAGACTGGAGTGCTCAGCCGGCCACAGAAGACTGGTCTGCAGCCCCCACTGCGCAGGCCACTGAATGGGTAGGAACCACCACTGAGTGGTCTTGAGCTGTTCTGGAAACACTTCAGCAAAGTGGGAATAAAGTTGATAAAAAATAAAACACCAGTTTCTAAAAGTCTGTTTGATTCTTTCCAGTTCAAAAAGACTACAATTTCTTACACCTCCATACTCCTACCATAGGCCACTATGGATCAGTGACAACTGCTTTTTGCTTGAGGATTTTCTTGAGTTCTGAAAATTGATGTACACATGCATGAGTAGTAGTCCCAGGGATGGTTTTTCCAAGGCCCCATAGTGGCAGTGGTTGCTATTTGCATTAATGTGGGGTCTAGGCTATAGTTGGTTTTATGACAAGTCTTGCTGTTTGCTAGTGTGTGGCCACTGCTTGAGTGATTTCTTGTATCTACATGCCTGCCTCAAGCCAAACTGGAACGTAGTCCTTTTCTTCCCAGTGTTGATCTCCCATGTTTATAGTTGCTAGGAGAGTTTTTTGAATAGAATTTTCATCTACTACTGTGTCACAGTGATTTACTAGTGAAAGTACTGATAGCTCCCTCCTACGCTGATTTTATGACATTCATCGCCTATGAACAGAACTACAGGGTCTTGCTGCGAAGTAGTCCAGGCTGCCCTCAAACCATGGAAAACTTTTGCCTTAGTCTCCCAAGTGCTGCAGTTACAGATGTGTGTTACTATCTGTAGTCTCAGAAAAAATGGTTCTTGAGGGAACGTGAACATTCACATTGGTGATCGTGATGACCTCACTGACCACCTTCCCGATGTGAAGGGTCCTGTGCTGCTCAGCCACCTTCCCTGCTCAGCAGCTGTCTTCAGTTTGGAAAACACAGGAAGAACCTTATGATTCTTGGGGGCAGTGTTGGCATTTAAGATGCTGGGAAACAGGAAGGGGCCAGCAAGGTCACCCTGGAACTCTGCCCTGTGAGAACAAAGCTCATTTGTCAACAGGTGATGGCTGGAGAGAACACCCTGTTACTTTACAGGGCAACTCTGCCTGGTAGTCACTGACCAGGTGTCTCTCTAACCATCCAATTCAGACACCTGCATTCCTCTTGCTCCGGCTCCTGCCTTCATGGTTTCTGCAGGTTAACATGGGATGAGCACAGATGAAGTCCACCCAGGAGCTTCTAGATGGGCTTTCTTGAAGACCCAGCGGGGTTTAGTCTGGCTTATAGCTTCGAAGAGTTAGATCCTGCTCCAGGGATCACCCAGTGCCGGCCTACCTGGCTAGGACCTTTCTTTCCTGGTGGTGTCTGCAGTTCTTCAGCACTGTTGAATGTAGTGCAGAGCCTGCAGGTGTTCCTGCAGCAGCTTACCCACAGTGGGTGTCAGGGATTACTGTGGTCCCCTCTGGCCCAAGGCCTTTGCTAAGGAGAGGTGGAAACACCCCTTCGCACTGGTACCTGATCACAAGTGAGCCATATCCCTTTGTCAGCCCCTGCTGTCTCACCACACAGGAACAGGTTTTCCAAATTTTTTTTTTTTTTTTTTTTTTTTTTTTTTTGATACAGGGTCTTGCTACATAGTTTAACCTGATTTCAAACTGACAGTGACCCTCCTGCCTCAGCCTCCGGAGTATTGAGGTGACAGGTGTGGGCCAGTATGTTCAAGGTTTTCTATTTTTTTTTTTTTTCCCCCAAAGGTTTTGGTTTTCTTGCTTTTCTATATATATACACTTACTAGTATTGCAGCACACTGAAATCTCTTTGTCCTGACCTTGGGAAACTGGGGCTTGCTGTATATATCACATGCACATCTTGGGGGTTTGCTTCTATGCTTTATAGAAATAGAATTCTCCCCAGAACTCTGGCATTTCCTTTTTTTTATCACTTATCCTGCTTCAAGTACTTTGGAGACTGCGTTTCCTGGGACTGGGCAATAGACATTTTTCTAATATCCCATCACAGTGTATGACTGGTACAGACAAAGGGTAAAACAAAGACTTGGAGTCCATGTCTAGACAGCAGCCATTAGCTGAGACCCCCTTCTGTGAGAAAATGTCCAGGCAGCCCAAACCACATCCTCTCTGGCTTCTTATTGATTGAACCAGGAAGCAAAGATAAAGAAAAATTAAGAGTGTCAGGACCAGAATTAATGTAGTGGGCAGGGGCATTCTGGGTGGCCAGTCAAATAACTGACCTTGGATGAGTTGAAATGATAAACGAGTAGGAAGAGGATGAAGGCCAGAGCATTCTCTTTTTTCTTTTTCCTTTTTTTTTTTTTGGCACTGGGGATTGAACTCATGGTCTTGCACTTGCCAGGCAGATAAATCAGCCCCACGGAGCATTCACCTTTTAAAGCAGTGTGTCCTACCCTACAGTACTTGGCCATGGCCGGTAGGCTATCTTAGTTTCTAAGCATGCGTTCCAGAAGGTTTTGGGCATGTGGCTCTAAAAGTCCCTTATCTCTGCGTAACCATCTCTGACTGACACCCCCACATGTTCCCCCTTTTTTTGTTTTATTTGCAGGTTTGGAAAAGTAGGACAGGGTAAAGGGAGAAGGGATATTGGGCTTGGTGAGAGAGAGCATGAATTCAGAACATGGCATCAGTTGAAAGAGTATATGTACCAAGAGGACCTTAGGACTTGCAAGAAAAAGATTATTCCCATAGCAGTAAGAATCTAAATGGGAGATTCAGCCAATAGGTGATACTGAGATGATTAAGGTGGTATTAGAAGCTTCCCTGTGAAGTTTATAAAGTTGGGCCTGAAGCCAGCTCAAAAGCAGTAATATGAAGAACCCTAGGGAGAAGACACTGATCCTCTTCCTAGGATTTAGCATGATTAAATGTAATATGGGAGGGTACCCAGCATCAGAAAATTTTGAAGATACCCGTACGTGATTTGGGCAATTTGGACAGAATGAGGTTTGATGGCTGCTATAGCTACAGTAGCTGCCAGTGCCGTTACTGCTGTAATGCCCCGAAACTGCTTTCACCTGCATTTTTCAAGTGCTGAGGTAATTAATTGGTGCAAGGGTGTAGTCTCCCACCCAATCACACGTAGTACAGTGTGGGAGCTAGGCTTCAGCCCTTAGTGTCTGAGAATAGCTGTTGTATTTTTCAGGGAAGCCCTGGTCCGTCCTTTGAGCATCACTTCTTGGCCCCAGTGTAGAACCATCAGCCTACTGGCACAGATCCTTCACCTCTGGCAGAGACTTACTAGCTTCCACCACTGATCTTTGGGCCTTCCCAGTGTGGATCTGTAAAGCAGACTGACATGAGTCTTCGGGGGCTTTAGACCTCCAGTTGGACTCCTGGGTGGCATTGCTAAGGGCTCTAGGTCTTCAACTGGATTCACGCAGGACACTGCTGTGGGACCCAAGCCCTCAGCTGGATTTTCTAGATCTTTGGTGAACAGATTTTCTGCACTTTCTTGTATTTAATTATGGGTGACCACCATAAACACACACACACACACACACACACACACACACACACACAATTTTTTTTTAATCTTTTTGAGACAGTTTCACTATGCAGTTCAGGCTGGCCTTGAATTTACCTTGTAGCCCAGATTGGCTTCAAATTCACAACATTCCTCCTGCCTAAACAATGCTCCCAAGTGCTGGGATTACAGGCATACATCACTGCATCCAGCCTTAAAATAAAATTATAAATTCTGAATTCTGTATGTAATTGTTCCCTGGTAACCTGACTATAACACTTAGCATTTCCCAGAATATATTATTGATGTGTGACTTACTTTAGTGGGTTTTATAAGGTGTAACTATCTTGACAGGTGTGGAGGACCACCTGGACGACTCTCCTTGAATAAACAGCAGTTACCTCCACTTTAGCTAAACCTAGCCCTCGTCTTCATGTACTGATACATACAGCACTGGATAAGTTATTTCCATCTCCCCTTTATTGGCTCTGAGCAACGTAAATAGGGCTGGCTGAGGTGCTATGTAATCTTTGAAACCAGGTGACAGTCCTGTTTCCCCACACCAGTGACTCCCTAAACATGGTTGAACCAGGTGGGACATGGTTCCAGGGCTGTGAACTGGGTTTGAGCCTGGAGACTCAAGATAAGCTAGAACTTCTCAGGGCATAAAACTGCACATCAGGGCTGAAGCACCACTCCCAAAACATTAACTGCTACCTCAGTTGTACCACACAGGTTGGTCTTTCTACACAGCCTTCTCTGCACACTGCAGAGGTGTCTGCAGGCTCCTACCGAGCCCAGCTCACAGGACTCAGATATTCCCGCCATTCTCACAGTCACTCATCCTCTAGCCTCTTCTATCTTCACAAATTAATAAAATCTGGGTTAGACCCTAGGTTGAGGCCTTTGTTCCATGAGCCTTCACCTAGGTCATACTCAGGATTCCTTGATTCCCCATAAATATAAATGTCTTAGTGCCTTTATTTCACTGTAGGTTGCACTGGAAGTGGTAGATTGGAATTAACACTAGAATTTGAATAACTTTTTCATGAGATTACAAATACAAACTTTCTAGACCAAAATGAGGATGGGAAAGGGATTGCTATAGACAGGGATAGCTCTGATAAATTTTGAGAACAGTACTAATAACCAACTCATACTCAATATACTAACATTACTCAATATACTAACATATCTCACTTATACAACAGCAAAAGTGTTTGTTTTATCAAAACCAACAGATGTAGGTCAATTTGAAATGTCAGGACCAACCAAATTTAAAGAGGTGTGAAATTTTGACCATTTTATATGTTTAAGGTCCAAACATATTTTAGTTACTTTGTATGTCTTAAGCTTGTATAGTCTTTTTTTGTCTTTTTTTTTTTTCCTTCGTTTTTATCGGTACCAGGGATGGAACTCACGACTGCCTGCTTGCAAGGCAGGCACTTATGCTGCTGAGCTAAATCCCCAGCCCCAGCTTATATAGTCTTAACCCTATAAATTTAACTTGAAAGCATATCTTATTTTTAGATGTATATATAAATATGTCTAAATATTTCATACACTAAGATAATAGTTATGTATTTAATCAATCATGAACTGATTATTGAACATGTCTTACAGGCTAATTTTTTAAATTTTTTATTATTTTGAAGGTAGTAAAATACAACAGAACAAGACAGAAGAAAGCCAATCAAGACAGTGTAGTGAA